TATGTAAAACTTATCATTAACCCATGATTCTTTATGCACAGATGGTCGAATACCTTCTACGCAATGGAGCAGAAATCGATTGCACAGCGAGGAATGGTTTCACGCCATTACACATTGCTGCCAAGCAGGGAAACCATGAGCTAGCCAGCCTACTTCTTGTTCATAATGCCAGTGTGGATGCAATCTCTCGAGGCGGCTATACTCCATTGCACTTCGCTGCCCGTGAGGGAAATGTGGAACTTGTTAAGAAACTGCTTCATGACTACTCGGCCAAGGTTAACGCGGTGGCCAAGGTGAGAAATAGTCTGTCCCATTAGAAAGGCCGCTGGAGTAAACGGGGCTAGACATTAATTATGTCACTACCTTGACTCCTCTCTAATGGTTCCCAAATGACCGATTCCACGTCATTTCTCACCTCTTATATGAGATGCGTTGACCCTATTTCGTTTAAGGTGATTAAGAACTTGTAACTAAATTTACCCGAAATGATATGAGTAAACTTTAAGTTTTCATTGAATTTCACATGGCCTTGCTTTTCCAAAAGGTGCTCTCATTCAAGTTGAAGTCTTATCAGGTCTTATCAACACCCCTGGAGGAAGTCGAACCATGATAGTGCAGCGCGTAATCTCGTCACGTTAGCCACTATGCCAAACTGTCACGAGTACCCTTGCATCACAGGGCAGATGTGAATATTAAGGAAGGCCAGGCGTTTTCTCATATCGCTTCCTGTGGTGGGATTATCGATGAAGCAAACTTATATTTGCTATAACAATCAACGACACTACTTGTTTCTCGTTATGAGTAGATGCAAGGTCTACTAATATGATTGTTGTAAAATTCAACCACCAGTCCTTCATCACCTGTAACGAAATAGTGTGAACACATCTCATATATACGATCTACTGGTAGTCTCGAAAACTTTCTCACCTCTTATCTCATATTCTTTTCCTACTCTCTTACAGGACGGATTGACGCCACTGCATCTCGCCGTACAAGAAGATCGTCTTGCTTGCGTTGAAGTGCTCCTGGCTGCTGGCGCGGACGTATATGCAACCTCAGCCATCAGTGGCTTCACTCCGCTCCACAATGCCGCCTATCAAGGCCATCTGGGCGCTGTACGCTGCCTGCTAAGCTCACTTGGCGACGAGGAAGATGCTCGTGCCGAACTGCTAGCCAGTCGAACACGATCCGGCTCCACTGCTTTGCATCTGGCAGCCCAGCAGGGCTGTATGCAAGTAGTCAACAGACTCCTCGAAGCTGGGATAAATCCCAATGCCAGAAATCTGGTATGTCGTTGATTAAGAACTGAGTCATTCCAGATAATATAAGGTGAAACAACGAATGATAATGCAATTTTTCCCATAATAACATGAGTATACCTTACGAGGTCATTGAAGTTAACTTAAACTATTTTCTTAGAAGGTATTATTATCCAGAGTTGATTGTAGTTTAGACCTCATCTTAATCTCATCAGCATCTTCAACAGGATTTTAAACCGGAACTTTGTCACCATGATGACACATTACCACTCGTCTACTCTGATACGAGTCCCAGTAGGTCACATGTCGGACGTGTCTCTTATAACTCGCATTTAGGGTGGGAGTGTCGATAAGGCAAAATTTGTATTTCCAATAGGAGTAGTTAGGGAAATGATAGGTAATTCTATACCTCATTTCTAATTTATTTATATTATTCGATTAGCCATGGCTAGTAAAATTCTGATTGTTGTCAGCATAAACAATTAAATTAGGTATAATGGGATATACAAATGATTCTGCCCAAGTTGAGCTAGAGA